AAATGCGGAATCCATGGCCTTGTAATGAATTTTTGTTATTAATGCAACTGGAATATATCCATCCATCATATGATAATTATGGGTTTTGACTTGAAATACTAAAGACTCAAGAATGTTTTTGTCATTCAAAGAAACGATAAAATTTGGATAACAATCAAAAGAAATAAGTCCACTTGCATAAACTAGACTCAATTGAACTAAGCGAGAGAGTCCCGAAAATTTATAAACCTATTGTCTCTAAGGACTCGCCAAGATTGAGGTATTCGATCCTTCTTTTGTAAGTGGTTTAATTCTCGCTTGAACCAAACCGATATGAATGTATTTGAAATTTTTATCTTTATGTTTTTGAAGAGTTTTGGAAGAAAAGAGATGAATTATTTCAAAGGGTTTTGAAAACTAAATATCTCTCTCCTCGATTTTGCTAGTAAAATCGGTTTTGAAAAGATCATATTTTGAGGTTTTGTAAATCTCATTTTTGTAAATATTGGGTATTGCCTAATTATCAATTTGTTTTTCAAAATCTTCTATAACATATTCTACACTATTGATTATCTTCTTAGACTCGAAGAATCGAAGCGGAAGATGCGAGAAAGAAAGTAGATCTACAAAATATAAAGTGCATACCTAGACTATAGTTTGGAGGTTTTGGTACACAAGTTATGAAGGTGATTCCATATATTTACAACCCTATCCATCGGGACTTACGACTGCCACACCAACTCAATGGTCTACCCTAGCTCCGTAACACGACCTAGACATAAAAACTATAAACTATAAACCTACAACCCCAACAACAACTTTGGCTCGATACCATCTATGAATGGACCTTGTGATAATGCTTGTGATAATTAAATTCTACATCTTTGGGATGTTCCTTATGATAATGCTTTCTATAAGACTTCTTATGAGGTTTTTCGTTGCAATGACCTTTGCAATTTAAAGGTTTGGAAGTGGAAATATCAAATTATTTACGAAATTAACTAATTCCTGTCTAATCTTCTTCATTTCCCACTTAAGGTGTTTTTGGAGTTTGAGGTATTGACATATCTTTAGTCCTTCCTTTTGGGTAAGACTAATTAATTCTCCATATGTCAGTTAGTCATACGGGATTTGGTCACTATATATATAATCATACTTAGTAAATTCCAAGTATATAGTATAAATAATTTTTTTTTAAAAAAAATCATCTATGTTGTATGGAATATATTAAAGTCAATAAATTGAAATAAAAACTACTACAAATTTGGTTCTCATAGATTTTACTTTTTAATTTATGATAAAAAAGATTCTTGAATTACAAATTAAATTATAAATTAGTTCATCGTCTTGTAAAAAATTAATTAATTAATTCTTTTAGTTTCAAAAATAAATTATTTAATTTTTTTAATCAATGTTGACCATGAATAATTTATTTTTTATTTTGAAAATATCGTTTTTCATATTTTTACTTCTTAATTTATGATAAAATAAATTCTTGAATTGCAAATTAAATTATAAATTTCATATTTTAAAAAATGTCTATTGTTAAAAAAAGGATTCATTTTTTTTTCATTCATTCATTCTTAAATAAAAACCTACAATAATATAAATATAATTTTTTAAAAAATATCTTAATATTTTTTTATAAGACTATATCGGAGAAATATATCAACAATCAATGTAAAAATTTGTATAGAAATTAACTAATGAATTTTTTTTTACACACACACACACACAAAAAACAACCGATAATATTAGCTATAAAAACATGTATTTGAATTATTAGGTGGTTCTTTTAAAATATTATTTTATTTAAAATAAATTAAATTTAGAATATTAAAAATAATTAATATGAAATAGTTGGTGTTATATGTGTAGATGCATAATTAATTTTAATAAAATCAATTATCTCAATATTTTTTGTATACATCATTACCATACTTTTTACAAATTAAAAAATATGTTTAAAAAAAAACTTAAGTTGAAGGAAATAGATTAAACTTAATAGAGTGCAGTAAAAATATTTTAAAATTTTATTCTAAGAAAAAAAGATTATATCAAGAATAAGATTAAAAAAAAACACGTGAATTCTATTATTTATTAGAAAAACATATTAAAAATTTATTCACAAAGAAACATAAATTATATTTATTAACAAATAAAATTTCATAAAAATAAAAAAAATTAATTTGATGAGAATTTTTATAATAAATGACAAATTTAAAAGATTAATTTTAATCAATAAAAGAATAAAATCCGATATATATGTTTGTTTTAAAATCTAAAGACATAAGAGGCCAAAAACATCTTTTAAAAATATGAGAAACAAAAAATATATTCTAAAAAAATGTAAGACAAAAATGGACTGAGTTAAAAACATGAGATGCCAAAATATTTTTAAAAATATGAGGATTTAAAAATAGATTTTGAAAACATTAGGAACAAAAAGAAATAAATGTAAAATTTGAAATTGGATGCCTAAAAAACCATAAGAAAATTATGAAAATGCCATTGCATAAAATCATAAAATTACCACTCTAATGAATAGTGAATTGAGGCAAATGAATAGTATTTTATTGTTCATTTGTCTTAATAATTTTAATTTTTTACTTAATACTCAATAATAATAATTTGATCAAAATATCATTCTTAAGCAAAATTTTAATGTAAAAGATTTTTTTATTACAAATTGGTCACCATAAGATATATCTTAGAATTCTTTTATATAAATTAACAATAGTTAATTTTGTGTGTACTATTTTAAAACCCAAAATCTTTTCATATAAAAAGATTAGAATTTGCCTTGATAACCTTAAAGGTTATTTACAAATTACCATTAATATATGATTTCTTTTTCATTTAGAAATTGCATAAAATAACCAAGAAAATATCACGTATTCTTTAAATTTATTTTAAATATTTCACTAATATGAATGATTTGATGTTTTGTTTTCTTTTAAATATTGTGTATTTCTTTTCAATATTTCAATAATTTGAATATTTGATCTTTTGTTTTTAATTTATTTTAGCTTTATCCTACCTATATATCCTAGCTAGCATAATAATTTGAATGTACACACCCAATAATTTTTTATTTTTATTAATATATAAAAAAGTACTAATTAAGTTCTATTTTTATCATACTAAAATGTTTGGATGTTTTATTTTTCTCTCTTTTCTTTAATAAATACATGAAAGTTCTATTGGAAACTTATTTTTAATATGATGTCTTAAATGATACAAATAAATATTATTTTTTTTCTTTTTGTAAGGTAGAAATTGTGTCCAACTATTAAACCCAGTTTTTTTATTTAAAAAAATACATGAAGCTTATCCAAATACTTAAGTAAAATATTATTGTTAAAAAAATTGGTTCCTTAAATATTATAAATGATAAACAAAATCTGTAGAATATTGCAACGTTGTAGAATATAGTTCCTTCAGTAATTTTTTTTAATTCCATTAGTGAAAAGCTTGCATAATAACTGATCAGTCAAATGTTTTCTTTTTGGTTTTGACTTAAAAAATTTTAATTGTCACTGATTTAACAAATAACATAAAGGCTAGAAGCACGTAGCAAAATTGAATGTGACATCGAAATAGAAGGGGCATTAAATGACCTTCAAAAAAATCAAGAACAAGACAAAAAAAAAAGATGGCACAAAGGTAATAATCAAATAACATAACGGGAAGAAACACCAAAAGGATAAGCACAATCCAATTGTGTGTAACACATAGTAAATTTGTGGGAACGATTGAACAGTCAGGGGTTCTGTTCTTTTATTTTTTTTAATTAATGTTGTCATTTGCTGAACGAAAATAAATTGACTTAATGCTGAATGAATGACTAATATCATCAGTGACAATATCTGCTTACAAACAGTATACTTTTTTATATATTTTAAGGAAAATGTTATTTTGATATAATTAATTTAGCAATAACGGTATTTAAAAGCTGGAGGGAATCTATTTAAACATTCATAGCTATTTTTTTTATTATTATTTTTTTTTCAGAGATAAGTATTAAGCCATTTTCTCCATTTTTTGCTATTTACATGGCAGATTGTCTAAGATATTTTTTAATATCAGTGCAATCTATACACATCATTGCTATCAGCCTAGCCTAAATCCTGACACAGTCTCTCGCTGACGGGAAACATCAAACATCAAACCTCAAGACGAATTAAGTGACATAACCCAGCTGGACTTTGACTTGCTCCCATTTAGGAAGCTTTAATCACATCATGCTAAGGCCTCTCTTCTCTGGAAGAGAGACTATTTTTGATGTGATCAACTTTTTGGCTTGGGTAAAACTTACACAGCATGTTCACCGCAAGCATCCTAAAATTCTTCACTTAATGAATGACAATCTACTTAGAACAATGAATGACCATATCTTTTGGTAATTATATAATTTTTTTATCTTTAAAATTCAATGTTATATTAATTAATACATGAATTAACAACTCATCAACTATTAATTCTAGCCAATTGACGAATCCATAATAATGATTAACAGTTAAAAATAACTGAAGCCTTGAAAGAATTCTCATTTGAAGCATCTCTAATTTCAAGTGTTACTCATCAACAAATAATAATAATAATAATAATAGGAGCTAGTAAACTACCTAAATGGAATCTTACTTGCAATTTTCTTTTAAGATGCCAAGCTAAATCTGCTTCCAGTTATCTCCCCTTCAAAAAGCTTGATCTAGGATTTCCATCAATAATTCTTTTAACAATTTCCTCAGCCTATGTTGTTAACATAATTGCTAAAAAGAAGTCAGATCCCATAGAAAGACTCAAGCACTCGAGAATAGAAAAATAAATATTCAACTCCTAATTGACAAATGAAAAAAACAAATGAGAAGATCCATGTACAACTTCATTTCTTAGGATACTGTGAGGGTTGAGAGAGAACCACCTCTACCAAATGACATGCCATTGTCAATTAATTGGTTCCACCTTCATTTCCAAGCACAAATAAGTGGGAAGAATAAAAAACAACAGAGAAAGGGAACTTACTTGTTCCTCTTAGCCATATCGCTAGTTGAAACACCTTCAACAGTTGGAGTTCCATCAAGAATGAGGCCTTCCTGTTAAGCATTTGGGACTAGTGAAAAAGGTCAAACCATATTGAAAAGAAATTATCATCAATATGATATTAAGAATAAAATTTGAATAGGACATGTTAACAAAGTTTGGAGGGGGTGATAAATGAACCTTTGCCAGCTAAAGATTGCGATGGTCGTGATCCTCAATTTTGGTCTTCTCTATTTCCTTTTCATGCGTTGATTTCTTCTCCAAAGTCTCCAAAGACTATTAATTGCCTACCTTTCAGAAAAATCCCCAGACCAGATGCAACATTAGCTGCTGAAACTGCAGCACTTGCTCCATCTGTCGTTTTAAACTTGAGAAAACCAATCCCTCGAGGTCGCCTGCCACAAATAAAAGTATTAAATGAAATTTAGGTAAATAATTAAGAAATGTAGAAGCGTATCAGATCGTATGAGTCCCTACTTAGTGACTTGATTAAGGACAGGAACAAAGGATTGCACTTCGCCAAATGCAGAGAACCATTGTTTCACTTCTTCATTTTCAACATCAGAAGAAAGATTGCTAATAAAAATAGTTCCCTGTAAATCAACTTCTCCGTCCTATCCACTTAATATTAGATGATTTGCTTTTTCCACTGGATAGAGTACTCCCTGATAAGTTTTCAGACTCGTCGGACAACTTACTTGGCACATTAACAGTTTTAACAGTATCTGGCTCCTCAATCCCCTTGGGCAATGCACCATCACCCATATCGAAAGAAGCAGAACCTTTAGGAGATGATGTGGTCAAATTCCTAAGAACTTTTCTCGCAATGTCTACTTCCTGCTCAAAATCAACTTCAGCTGGCATGTCTTCTTTTTCATATGAATCCGAGTCTGATGAAGCAACAAAACCCAATCCTGCTGTTGATTTTTTCCAATAAAATCTGTATCATTGTCATCATCTGAACCCTCACTGCTACTGTCTCTTTCATTTTGATGTCCTGTAAAAGCACTACAAAGCTTCACTAAAACTTGCAGACTTGTAAATGTGAAAAGATGTCAAGGCCTTGTAAGAAGATACACTGTAGTTAAACAACCATTTACCATCTTCTGAAGCAGCAGACACATTAGCACCAATACTATAAATGTTTTTTGGAATAGCCCAGTCAACAGCTATGGGTCTTTTGCCAAACTTTTGCCCGTTGAACTTCTGAATGGCCTGAAGAAGGAAAAAAGCAAAAATGAAAATTCAAAGTGCTATGGAATCCCAAAGTTATATTTTAAGAGTAAATAATGGTTCATAAGGAATAAATTTTCTGCATACTGCTTGCACGTGAATTTGACAAATGCAAAACCCTTGGATAACCTTCAAAAACGGAAAAATTAATGTGAAAAATATTAAAATACAAATTTTCATTCGCAAACAGAGGTTATAGGTAATGTGTTTACATACCATATTTAAGAATTTTGTGGAACAAACACATCCCATACAAAGTGGGCTGATGCAAACACATCTTTAATCTCTTTTGGTTTGGCCTGCATTGGTGTTTAAAGGGACTTGTGAAGGAGTACTTAACTCGATGGAGCAAAAACTTCTTTTTTTTTTTTTTTGCAGAATTAAAGGAGTGGGAGTGGAGAATAAAAGTTATATATATATATAACAAAGAAATGGCCTTGTAAAAAAAAAACACAGCGTAGAAAACTAAAAGGACAAAAAAAGGTTAAAATAGAGAATAATAATATATTTTTTTTCTTTTTGAGTTTTTCTAAATCAAAACTGAAAAGCAAGAAGGAAGGAAAATTTGTTTCCGCCCTCTCTATTCCATCTCTGCAGCTTTCTCATAAACCAAACATAGAGAGAGTCATGCAAGAACAAATAAAAGTGAGAGAGGTTGAAAAGAATGGACCAAAATTACCTGAGAAATTCCAAATTTTCTCTTCTACTTTCACTCCTGTGCTTCTTTCAAGAACAAAAATAACCCTAAAAAATCAAAGAGGAGCTTTCACGGCCCATTAATGATGCATGTATATCAACCAACTTAATTTTCATTTTGAGTTTTCTTTTTCTTACTTATTGCAACCAAATAAAGAAAGAAAAGAAGAAGAAAAAGAAATGAGCATTAGAGAAGGGTAATGGAGGGCTGGCTGACAGCAACGGAGGGTGGTGGAAGGCTGAAATTTTTGCAGCTTTCTCACAACCCAAACACATAAAGAGAGTCATGCAAGAACAAATAAAAGATAGAGAGGTAAAAAATAATGAGCCAAATTACTTGAGAAATTCCAAAATTTCGCCTATACCTTCACTCCTCTGCTTTCTATAGCAAGGAAAGGGATCGATAGATCAGAAATTCAAAAAAAAAAAAAAAAACAGAAGAAAATATGAGTTTATTTTTGCGTTTGGGTTTAAGAGAGACAGAAAGATGAAGATGGAGGTTGGATGAGATCGTGGTAAACGATGCTATATCTTAGGATTTAATGGCCATTATTGTTAGGGTTTGTAAATGAATGGTCAGGATCAAAATAAAAAAAGAAAAGAAGAATGATAGAAAGTAATTTTTCTGGAATGGCCTCTTGAAACAGAAAGTGAAATACGAAAATCGAGTTAGCTGAAGAAATCATAAAGAAGTAACAAAGAGGACAATAAAGTAAATTCACAAATCCATGCAATAATAAAAAAAGAAAATAACGAAAGCAAGAGAGGATAGAAAGCCAAACAAAACAAATGATTCAAAACAATAAAAAGTACACAAAGGAAAAACCAAATCAGAGTAAACAGAGTGGGTGGTCTCGAAACCAAATCAACATACAACGTCACAGCAAAGGAAAAAACAAATAGGAGAACTGGGTGTGTAGCGATAGCAACTGAACAGTTACACATTCAGTTCTTTTATTTTTTATTTTTCAATTGTATTAGGTAGTTTTTTTTTTTATGTGTAAGATTATTATATTTTGTCCTTTTTAATTTAATTTCAAATCCTGGCTTCGTGGGTACTGATCCACAGAGCTGAGGGCCCCTCTCATAGCCGAATCATTCTCCAGCTCGATAGTCGCTTCTTTCCGTACCAAATCCTTGAAATGCAAAAAGAACAACTGAATGCGCCAAAACCCACATCCCAAAATCAAATCATATTATTAAATTTATGACAATAATTCACATTCAAGAGAAGGGAAGGGTAGAGAAAAATAGAGATTGCTTACCATCTATAATCTATCTACGTAAGGTACGTTAAGCAGCTTATTGGCTCTACTGCTGCACTGCTCTGCTTTGCCTGAATCGTTATCGAATGAATGTCGTACTCTATATCATACCTCCTTTGCTGGGATTTGGAATCCAGAGTTAATCACAGTCAACTCTGTCATCTTTATGTAATAGGTATACCATTGTTTGGGGGAACAAAGTATTAAAGAATAAAAAGAAAAGCACACAGCAATAGCATCAACAACAGCAAATATCAGTGTCGAAGTACATCTAACCATGACGAAAGCAAGTAAAAGCAAAAAGATATGGAAGGATGGCATAGCTGCATTATTTCTGCATACATTGACAAGGTTTGCGAACATGGCCACAGATTTTCCTCAACTTTTGATTATACTGAAACTTCAAATATTTTTTTAAAAAAGTAGCTACATTAGACAGATTGAAAGAAACATAAAACAAACATGAAATTACAAACCAAGCATTCTAGAATGCAAAGGAGGACCAAATCCTTCCACTGTTAAGACACCAAAACTTATTAACGGTCCCAGTTGATCAGAAAAAGTCAATCATCATTCCCCCTTGCCATGCTGATCTTGCTTCCCATTCTCTCTATCGCCTCCACTCTTGTTCTTTCCCACAATATCTAATAAAAACCCCATGAACAGAGACTCATAATTTGGAATCTTCTCAAACCCAGGAAAATAATTTATATCAATAACAAGATACCTATTTGCATCTCTAGCATCCCTAATCAGATCAAAATTGAACAAATTAATCCCTGTTTCCTCCTTCACGGCCTTGGCTACTTCCTCAACAAAATCCACTGCCGGCATTTCCACACTCTCAAACTCACTATTCTCCTCCACACGCAAACTTGATATTTGCGAAAACGGTAGCAAACCCTTCAAAGTCACAGATTTGTCCTCGTTTAAATCTGGCAACGATTTTCTCTCGACACATTTCACATAATCACCAGCCACGTAGGCTTTAAAAACAACCCCCCCATGATTAACAAATTCTTGCAAAATAATCGGCGTCTCTAACTTGTCTAATCCTTCCTTATCAAAAACTAAATACATTTTATGGGAGGTGTCGCTCCCATTAGCCATTAACGGTTTGGCAATCAGTGGAAACCCTAAATCCCTAATCAAATCATCATTACTGCTCGAAGTCTGTTGTAAATCGGAAACAACATGTTGTTTTGGCGCATCTAAAACTTGATGTCTTTGTGGAAGTTTTAGGTTACGTACAACTTGGATCATCGAAACCCGATTGTGGAGTCTCTGAATGGAATCAACCGAATCAATGATGGGGACCTTAGGATTTTGAGAGGAGAAGTGTTGGAGCTGGGACTCCCAATCTGGGCCGTAAAGTTTGTGGATGATGCAATCAAAGGGTCCTTGTTCGATAAGGGGCTTGGAAGGATCAATGGGGATGAGTTCAATGTTGTGTTCCTTTGCCTGCTGGATGAGTGAGGGTTGGATGAACGCTTGGGTTTTGTTTGGTGCCAATGCGTACCCTACGCTGTTCCTTTCTGGGTGGGTTGACATGGTGGGAGACGGGGGTAGGAGAGTTGTTGTTGTTTGGGATTGAGAGGCGAGAATGCGTTTTACTTTCAACTTCAGTTTCAGCTTTAAATAGAGAGGAAGTTCTGAACCAGATTCGATGGGAATCAGAATTAAATAAGAATCCTCGTAGAGAGTGCCGATGACAAGTTCCAAACAGCAGCCATCTTCGAATAAGCTTTAGTAATATGACATTTTTTTATGCTTGATTATGCATAATGGTAATGGAATCAGTTCTTGCAAGTCGACTTTACAGTCAGTAGCACCACTCTCTTCGACAAAAGAAGATAGAAAAAGGGTGACCGTCCATTAGTGTATCCATTTAATATTATTTTACTTTATTATATTCAATTTTCAAATGAAGGAAAGTGTCGGTTGTATTTTAACTAAAAAATAAAAAAAATAATAAAAAAAATAAACTGAGTAAATTTATATATAAAAACACAAGTCTTCTTTTTAAAGAAGATGAAACTTCAAATATTCTTATGAAAATGATAGGAAAATGATTGAAGAGAAAGAATGATCAATTTTATTTATTTATTTATTTTTATGATAGGAATGATTGCTCTTGAGCCAAAAAGAGCAGGAAAGTCTGTATATATAGTGTATGCTTAAATCACATGACCAATTCTCAACGAACCCTTTTTGGCCGAGAATTGCATATGCCATGCTAGATAAAACCACGTAAAAATAAGTGATCATTGGTCCCTTTGAAACGTGGAGGAATTTTTTACCATTAATTTTATCCCAGGAAAGATAAGGGAAAAATGTACGGTCTAAATATTCTCTCTTTCGTATATATCTTTCAAGGAAAAAAAAAGGGTGGAGACTAAAAGAATCATTCAAAATTTAAAAAATATAAAGAACAAATAAGGATTTAAAGAGAATGTTTTTTTACTACAAAATAACAGCACATGATGATAAACCAAAGTCTTTAATGCACATGTGCCAAATAGGACAAGCAATGCGATGTAAATGTATCCGAAGATATCATAAATAAAAAGATCACATAATGTTATATTGTTCCACATGTTTTGGATTTAATAATAAACCTATAAAAAACCCACTGTTAAGGCAAATCATTAATAACTCAATATTAATGGTTTGATCCATCAAAACTAAGATTAATTGAACCCTTGGTTCCACAATCTCCTCCTTTTTTATGATGACAAACCATTAACACATTTTTAAGCATAAAAATCACTCAATTCAATCTTTAATGCTCTACCTCTCAAATGTGCTAAATAAATATACCAAAAATGACGTGCATGAATGAAAAAAAGCTAAACTTCCCTTGCCAACTTGCAAACATACAAAATAAACCAATTTAACAACACAGACCATATTAACTTAAAATCATAATTCTATAGAAAAATCATTTGATAAATCACATAAATCCAATTCTACTCTCTTTTGACATCAACCAAGCAGGCAACTTACCTTAGATATCAAAAAGAGCATGACAACACCATAATATCCAAAATTAGTCATGCCAAAACTAGCCAACAGAGCTAACACACATAAAACCATCTCAAGTCAAGATAAAATAACATCCAAAATTACATTTCAGTAGAAAATTAAATCTAAAAATGCAAAACAAACCAAACATTAAAGAAATGCATGAACTTGGACCATGAGCATAGTTCATCAAGTGCATAAATAAAGTCATTATTCGGGTTTCAAGTTCGTAACAATTGCTTGTCATTTTTTTTTCAGTTTTTTTAAAATAATTTTATTGTCGGGTCAATCATCATGAGTGACCCGGCCCAAACCCATCTTTTCTAATAAATTTTTCAACTACTAGAGTTCTTCTACTATAAACTTTATATGCTTTGCTAGTAGAAGAATAACCAAGAAATATACTTTCATCGGATTGGATATCAAACTTTTTCAAGGTTTCTTTAATATTTAATATGAAACACTTTGAACCTAAAACATGAAAACATGACCTAGGGTTTTTTTTTTTTTTTTTTTTTCAAAATGAGTTTTATGCAATATAAGTAAAATAAAAACTTGGTTTAAAACATAGAAAGATATATTTATGAATTCCATCTAAAAATATTCAGGCAAACTATACTAATTAAGCATAATTTTCTTCATTTCTTGAAGTGGCCTGTTTTTTTTTTTTCAAAACTATTTTGATGTAGAGTTCTTGGTGTTGAAAGCTCATGACTATAACCATTTTCAATGCATTAGTTTTCAAAATCAATGCTATCAAATTCACCACCGTAGTCACTCTAAATTTTAAAAGTCATAAAAAATTTTGAATTTTGAATTTACAAAATTTTTTGAAAGCTTGTAATGTCTCATCCTTGTGTGCATGAAAAGAACCCATGTAAATCTAGTGTAATTGTCAATAATAACAAAAAGCACAGTTTTTACCCTCAAGACTTGATACTCTTGTTGGCTTGAATAGATCCAAATGAAGCAATTATACTGCACATGTTATAGACACTAAGTTCATGGCCTTGAAAGAGCTTTTCACTTGTTTTCTTAGTTGGCAAGCATCACAGATGACTTTTGTTTTGTATTTAATATTTGGAAGGCCTCTCTCCAACTCTTTCTTTGATAAATTAGAAATGAGTAACATGTTTGCATGTCCAAGCCCACAAATGCCAAATACACGGAGAGTAATAACGCACTAGAACACTTAACATCCTTGCTGGAAAGTGCAATAATATCAAGCACATGCATGTTTCCTATGCACTTATCGATGAAAATGACTTTATTACTTCTATCACATAATTGACTAATGCTAAGCAAATTCTATGTAAGATCATCAACTAAAAAGAAGACTCGGTCTTAAAGTGACTATACCATTACGAACTAAAAAAGAATTTTTAATTAGCTTCTTCTTTTTCTTTTCTTTTTTTAGTACTACCAAATTACCTTTGAAAAAAAAAATGCATACTTAAAAGAGGGTGAAACACTTTCAATATTATAAAGCTAAATTATTATATTTTAAACCCTTGGATCTAAAAGCAATCAAAGTAGTTTTTTGATTCTATAACTTTTGAGGGGTGTCTTTTCTTCTTAATAAAGTGGCTCCAATTCTTGATTCACGATAACATGAGTAAAGTATGATAGTGATTTTCCATATTAGGGTTAATTTTCTTCTTTTTTTTTTTTAATTTTAATTTAGATATAGTAAATTATTAAGCCAAGTTAAAGAAATCAAAGTTTTTTTAAAGGAATCAAATGGTGAGACTCAACTTTCAATATGTAGTTTTCTTTTATTATCCATATTACACTACTAGAAAAAATAGGATTAGTGATGGCTTTTTAACGATGGTTTGTAAACCGTCGCAAAAAAACAATTAATAGAAATGGTTTTTATAAAACCGTCCCTAACTACCCATAAGAAATGGGTTTTAGCATTCGTTTTACAAACCGTCACTAATTCGGTCATTTTTTACCGATATTAGCGATGGTTCATGTAAAACCGTCGCTAATAAAATTGAATTTTTAGGAATCAATAATGGTTTAATTAAACTGTCACTAATATATATATATATATATATATATATATATATATATATATATATATATATATATATAAGTGAACTATAGTGATGGTTTGCCAAAACCGTCACTATAGTTTCTTAAATATGAGTGTATTTAGCAATGATTTTTGTAAAACTATCGCTAAATATAGTTTAATTCGAAGCTCGATTATGGAAGCAATTAGCAACAGCTTTTATCAAAAAACCATAGTTAATTTATGACCATTGAAGAGAAAACGAGTAAGTTCAAAATTTTCATTTAATTAAGATGGTTTTAACATTGGGTTTGGTCCCGTTGTTAAAAAATTCAATCCCTAAAACTCCATTGTCCCAAAAATTTTGCCCTAAATGTTTTTTCCTCTCTTCTTCTTTTTCTTCTAGACACGTTTTCTCTCCTCCATTACTACTCTAAATCCCCTTTTTTATCTTTTTTTCTTCCCCTCCATCTCTCCCCTTTTCTCCTTCTTTTTCTTCTTCTTTCTCTCTTTTCCTCCTCCTCCCTTCACCCCTCTTCTCTCGTGAGTAGTGCCACAATAACAACACACCATTATTGGCGCAGCAGCCTCCTCCTTCTCTAATTCTCAAATTTTGTTATTAGTAACCCATTAAGTAATTTTTTTATTTATTTCAATTATTTAATTTTGTGTTAATTATTGTTCTTAATTGTTAATTATTGTTGTTTTTTATTATTTATTGTTTAATTGTTAATTAGTGTAATTGTTATTGTTAATTGTTAATCATGTTGTTGTTGTTGTTAATTATTTATTGTTTAATTGTTAATTGTGTTGTTGTTGTTAATTATTTATTGTTTAATTGTTAGTTAGTTTAATTGTTGATATTTAAAAATTTTAATTTTTAATTATCATTGTTTTATTATTTATTGATTAATTTTTAGTTATTTTAATTTAATTTATTATTATAAGTATTTGTTATTGTTCAATCACTACAACCAAAAAAAAAAAAAAAAACAACATTTAGCTAGGAATATTCCATTGCTAATCGTTCAAATTCCGTCACTAATAGTGAATAGAAACGGAATTGCGATGGAAAATATTTTTTTGCTATTTCTCTTATCGTTAATTTTTTGTGACAAATAATCCGAGTCCATCACAAAGTTTAGCGACGGATTTTCCATCACTAAAGAAAAAAACCATCGTTAATCTTATCGTGGGATTTGTTGTTTCTTCCATAGCTATTTCATCGTTATTGCCATCGCTAATTTTGAAAATGAATTTGGCGTTATTCCATCGCTAATTTTGAAAATAAATTTATCATTAGTCCATCGTTAATTTTGAAAACAAATTTATCGTTATTCTATTTCTAATTTTGAAAACAAATTTGTCATCGGTTTGTCACTATTCGATCACTAATTTTGAAAATGAAGTTATCGTTATTCCGTCACTAAGTTTTTTGATAATTTTTTAATTATTTTTAAATTATTAATATGGAATTTAATAATTAATAATTATATATATATATATT